TTTCTTTATCGAATCGCGTAACTTCCAGAGAGAATATCTGTGCGCTATCGTCAGATCTCTCCGCGAGCGAGAGAAGAAAACTCTGACGACCGATTCATTATCGTCACCTTCATTTTTCTAACCGCGCAAAACTGGATCGAGTCGGAACGGACAGAAGAAATATACTGTAAGAGAGGCGCACGTTGTGGAGGAAACGGAGGGAAAGAAGGGGTCCTCTTTCTTCGCGCGCGTCGGGAATTCGGAATCGGCGTTTGTCTTCTTCAACGTTTCCGCGGGTAACGGAAGCGCGCGCGCCCCGCGGTGAAAGATGACAATGAAACTGTGTGGAAGTCGCCAACTCTTATACGGCGCGAACTTTCCTCCGACCGGAGGCGAAACTCCCCCACACGTCTGAATCTCTTGGTCTCGACGTCGGCGGTAAGTTTCGATTTACGATGAAAATCGTATATCGTTGCCCCCATCGATTCTCGATGGAGAAACGAGTTTAGATGAATGATGAGCGGCGCGGGGATGAGCCCCAACGCAAAAATTACTTTTTTTTTTCTTTAATGTCTCGTTTCACACGCAAATTTAACATTCGCGACTTGCGGCGGCAATAAACGCGCTTAATGTCGATGCCTCCCGTTGCCCGCAGTAATTATTCGCTGCGCATCAAGGAAGGATTGTAAAAAAAAAAAAAAAACGGATAATAAAATCCCTTGGAAATAAAGAACGTTCGGATGAAGAATGAGATGTAAGTCGGGCGTGAGAAATGGCACGTCGCCTTTTATTGTTGGCATTTGTCGGTACGGCATAAAAAATATCCTCGAGATGCGGACGGAAAAGTTTAGGGACTTTTAAAAACTTTATCGAGAATGCCAAATGCTTTGCACAGATTGGTTGCACAGATTAATAGAAATCATTTTATTTGGACAAGTTGATTTAACGAGATTATGTATGAGTATAGTGTCAAAAATGTGTTAGAATAAATGATGTTTAAACAATGTCCTTCACGACCTAGCGCATATCGCACTTTGTCTCTTCGCGGTCTCATCGACGGCTGCAAACTCTCTGCTCTCACAGATCATTCGAGCGCGTCATCTCTGATTTAAAACGTGTTCTTTTCAATTCTTTGTTTTGAAAGCTTGTTAGTAACAGAGTCGATTTTTAAAAGTCTTATTTAGCAAAAACATAGAAATGTTTACAAAATATTTGTCTCGCAGAACGTCAACGTACATTTCGATTTTCAAGACATTTGGCAAAGATATTATTTTTATAATAAATTCTGCGTGTGTGTACCGATTCTTCTCTGTAAATTTTGCTGAACACAATTATTATTTATAGAGAACACAATTATAAATATCAATTATTATATTACAAATATATAATGTGTAAAAAAATATAACGTGGCATATAATTGTTGTTTTACGAGGCGATTTGATGTTATTACGAGAGAAGAAGGAAATTAAACAACGCAGAGTGAAATATTTCGTATTTACGAGCCATTCGAGCAGCATATAGCTAAAGGTTTGCGCGCCCGATCGGACGCCATTTAATTCCAGAAGAAAGTAATTCTTTCCACCGTCGCCTCCCCTTCCGCACGACGTCTCATCTTAATCATCGTGATATCCAAGCGGAGAAATTCTTCCAACAGCTGTCGCATCGGTACCGCGACATTATTCTTGGAATCTTCTTAAGCGATCTTTTTAAGGATATTAATCGTCGAGAGAAGTCGCGCGCTTGACCAGATTTTTTTACAACGAATAAAGAGAAACACATGTTTGCCGCAAGCACACGTTCGTATATATCTTGTCACATACATTGAATAACTTTAATAATTTCGGACACAAGTTTTCTACTTTGCGGCACGATAATTTTTTTCTAAGATAAAAGGAAAACTATTTGTTGCATATTACAATATCGTAGAGTTAACAAAACTATAGACAAAAAAGTAAAAATGAAAATATAATATTTAATATATCGTTAATTTACTGTATTTACCGTAAATAAAATAATATCTGATTTTTTGTTGAACTCAATATTCTATATAATGTAACATACAACAAATATCCTTTTCCTTTAATAAAACTTTGTAGTATCCGAAGTTATTCAGTGTACGTGTCGTTTAAGTTGACAGACAGTATAACTTTTCTGCTATTTATGTATACTAGCACAATACAGTCACGCGATACGCTATTATTATTTTTATTTTAATTTGTTCTGTCAGTGAACACAACCTGTCACCGCGATTACAGCTAGTATATATATATATATATATATACGTATATTTGTACGAAATGAATCGAGAAACACATCCGAGAAACGTCCAATCAGCGTTGAGATAAAAACGGCAACAATCAAGATAAAATCGATTGTCATTATTTAGGTACACACGCTTTTTGCGTATGGTAGAACTAGCACAACACAGACACGCGCTACGCGCACGCTGTTATTGTTTTTATTTTAACGTGTAGTGTTACTAAACACAACCTGTCACCGCGAAGACAGCTAGTTATATATATCTTACAAACTATACAATGCACATGAAAGAAATGTCAAAAATAATGTGCATAAAAATCAAAATAAAAAAATAGCAAGAGGGAAGAGTGGAAAAACAACACGTGACTAAATTCACGTGACTGTACTTTAGTCACGTGACAGGAAGAAATGGAAAAACAACACTGAAGTCACGTGACTGTACTTTAGTCACGTTTTTAAAGTCACGTGACTTTAATCACGTGTTGTTTTTCCACTTTTCCCTGTCACGTGACTTTACTTTAGTCACGTTCTTAATGACACGTGACTAAATTAAAGCCACGTGGTGTTTTTCCTCTTCTCACTGTCACGTGACTTTATTTTAGTTACGTTTTTAAAGACACGCGCAACGAAGTCGCGCTCGAACGGCGCGAGATAATACCGTGCCTCTTGATTCGTACATTAATCGAGAAACACATCCGAGAAACGTCCAATCAGCGTCGAGATAAAAGCGGCGACAATCAAAGATCGATTGTGATTATTTACACACGTTTTTTCTGGTAGGATATAATATAATATTCAAGCCACGCATGTGGCGAACGATAAGCACAAGTTTTGGATGACCGCTTATATCTGAATCGCGAAACTTTTCTTCATTTGTTCCTAAACTACTTCGCAATAAGGACGAAGTAAGAAATTTATCTTCTCTCGACAAACAACGGATGTTTGAACACGCTTCGGAGCTTTACGGGAATCGCGCGGACGGGCAAGAAAAGAACAAAAAAAAAAAAAAAAAACCGAAATAGGCGTGTTTTCTGGATCGATTCCCGTGTGCTTCGGCGAGTAGTAAACACTTTAGCGTGTTCCCGCGTATATGTTCGGCAAACACGTTCCAATAAGCACTTTTATCCCGGCTTTTAACGGCGAATCGTATTCTCGTCGTCAGTGGGGCGCGAATAACCGAACCGGGTCTCTCCTCGTGTACATGTACACGAGCGATTAAAAGCGATACGTTACGTCGCGCGAACTCGCCCGCACGAATGCTTTAATGAGAATATCTAGGGGTGCTCTCCTATATTGACATTCCGGCGCACGTGTATACGTCGAGGAAGGTGGTGCCGCAAAGCAGAGGTTCACCGCGTTCGCGCTGTTTATTTAATACACGCTCACGGCTCTATGCCAGTGAGTTTTGCGATTATCATAATAAATAGCGCATCTGATAATTACACTCGTTCTCATTTAACTGCTTCAACATCGACGCTTCGTCGAGCAGGAGCGCAATTAATCGCGGCGTTCTTTAAACACGGTAAGGATGTTTTCAAATTCGCAAAAAAAAAAGACATCACACGTAACGGCGTTACGTGTGATAACGATGCTACACCAGTACTCTGGTAATTTCGAGCGCACCGGAATGTTGATTTTTCCTAGACTTCGATATTGTTTACTTTTCTTTCTAATGAACGATCGAGCCCGCGATGATCTCGCGATTCGAGTGTTGCGAGCAGAAGGATATCCCGAGTTCGAGAATCCACACACTTTCGAGTTTTTCCGAGCCGGTAACTTTCAATCAAACTTATCGATCGAAGTGAGAACTGATTAGGGAATGAGAAATTACAGAAGTATGAAAATTATGAAGAGACTCGACTGTCACACACACACAACTTATTGGATAATTCAATTATATGTTTTCGGCTTGTTGAATATTTAAATAAAAAGAAATAAGAAAATGGCAATAACAAGCTAAACACCAGATGTTCGGATACAATTTTTTTATAATTCGGAGATTTTCAAAAATTTTTAACAAACGTTTCGATCCACTATGGGATCTTCTTCGGTGTTTTAATAAAAACTTACAAAAAAAATTCTTCATGATCTTGAATAGATTGTTATTTTTTTGTAAGTTTTTATTAAAACACCGAAGAAGATCCCATATAGTGGATAGAAACGTTTGTTAAAAATTTTTTAAAATCTTCGAATTATAAAATTGTACTCGAACATCTGGTGTTAGCTTGTTATTGCCATTTCCTTATTTCTTTTTAATGGATAATCAAAGATTGATAGGAAAACAAATGTGGACACTTTTGTTTCTTTTTTTTTTTTTGTTGTTGTGGCAAAAGACGAAATACGTGTTTCTTTTTCTCTCAGAGAGCCGGGATAGACGCGCATTCTACGCGTCGCTCGAGATAGGGAAGTATGAAAATTATGGAAAAACTCGACTGTCACACACACACAACTTATTGGATAATTCAATTATATGTTTTCGGCTTGTTGAATATTTAAATAAAAAGAAATAAGAAAATGGCAATAACAAGCTAAACGCCAGATGTTCGGATAAAATTTTTTTATAATTCGAAGACGTCATTAGTGAGGGAAACCAATTGGTGTCCGCCCATAAAGAAGTCGAATTTACTTGGAGTTTCAATTTATATTATTAACACACTTTTCGCGTTATCTTTTCTCCGTGTTTCAAGCGTGAGTTCAAGTATTTCACACGCATAATCTGTTTATTTTCTCCTCTTTATTACGTTACGAACAAATAGACTCACCAATCTCGCGTCACCTTTGCGACGAACTGCTTCTGATTGTCCCTGTCGATTGGCATGGAGTGATGATGGCGATGTTCGTCAATCGGAACTACCGAATGGCAAACAAGACGCGTCTCGTTTCGATCGAGGATCGTGAGATTGTAAGGCGACGCTAGCAGTCGCGAAGCCATTCGATCCAAAGCCACCCACGATTTACCGGTCACCACCCAGGACGGATACGTGCAGTGCTGCGGTGGGTTTTCTGTAACGGAAAAAAACAGATGGTTGTGAAGAAAACAGATCTCACTGTGTTCGTTCGCGTAAAATCTCTTCAGAGTTAAACAACGGTCATCACAAACTTTTTCGGATCGCAAAATTAAAATTTCAAACGACTCAACAGCGCGAACAATTTTTTGGGAGATTTTTTATTAACTTCGAGCGAAAGAAAGAATTTCAAAATCCTTTTTTGTTTGTGTCTTCGATATTCGCAACGATTAAAAATAGTTGTTGCGCATTTTCAAAAGCCGCGGTGTACCGCCGAGCGAAAGGCAAAGCGAAATCGCGAAGTCGATTATCGCTGTAACGTCAACACTTTAATTCCTGCAATTTTCATCTTCACGTTGCAAATTCGGGCGACTGTTAAATTCAAATGTAATTACGTGTCAAGAAATAGCTCCGCGGTTTTATTCTTAGAGCGCGCGCTCACCCCCCCCCCTCTCTTCTCTCTCTCTTTCTCTCTGTATAACTCCACCTCGTCTCTAACGCAGTTATTTCAAACTCGAAATGCATAATATAACTGTAAACTCGTTCCCGACTCTTTAAGTTTCACGAGGTCCTCGAGAGCAGATAATCCAGCATAAGTAAACTTTGACCTCTCTTCTTCCTTGCATCGTAAACTTCGTTACCCCCGGCATACCCGGGTCGTTTCCCGCGCATTATCGGGTTCTTCGCACGTTTCCCCTCAAAGAATTTTGCGCGCAACAAAACGAAAATCGAACGCCATTTAATCGTTTCCCTCGGTCTTGATTCAGAGCGAAATTCCGCGTTAATTACAATACGCTTTTAATGGCGTCATATTTGTAACTGGCGTAATTATACCAACCGCGACCAACATGCATACGTCATACGTGAACACGATGTATATTAACCAACTCATTAGCTTCATTAACACACACAGCATGCGTGTACGCATATTGCAAACGCGCAATTCACGTAACATATTGCCAGCGCCATTGTTGCAATAATATTCCGGAATATTGTTTTCCGTTATATTGATAAAATATTTTTCAAGTCGCTCTCTTTACGAAACAATAAATCGTAACGCACACACGCACACACACAAGTGTATCTACATATCAATTACAAAAAAAACCCCATAGCAGGTAACAGACATTTCGACAACGCATAAAAATCATTTGCAAAAATCATGATGCACAAGATGTCGAAATATTTCGGTGGCTTTATATACCGGCGAGATTCCACGTGTCTTTGCCGACGGATTACGTTTTGACGCAAATAATTTTGCTATAAATGCGCGCGCGTGCGCGCGCGCGCGCGAGAGAGAGAGAGAGAGGGCTCGGTTGCCAGTGAGCAGTTATCCTGTCAATGGTCGGCTGCTCACCGGCTATCAATCACTGTGCATCGTGAATTAATGGACCGTTAAAAATGCACGAGCGACAAAGTATGCCGCGTGCATACGCGAGACCAGGCTGCGTGCAACTAAAAGCTGATCGATAATTCAATCGGGCGTGTGCGTGCGCGGCAACACTACTACGACATGCCGAAATTGCGCTGCTTATCGTGTACTACGTCGTCGTCGTCGTCGTCGTCGTCACGATGATAAGAGCCGAGAGCGAATGACGATAAAGAAAACGGCGAGATTGTTGTAATCGTTTCATTATGCGATTCACGTTACCGCGTAATTAGTTTTTATGCACTTTTCCGTGATGTATACGACGGAAAAAATTTCCGTCGGAAATTCGTATCCCGATTAAAAGTTTCATGTTTCAGACCATTTGCATATATATTATTTTCCATTTGCCAGCCGTGTAAATTGATCGATCAAGTATTGAATTTTTTGTTCCTCCCGCACAAAACACAGTAGCGAATAAATTTGCTTTCCGCGCGAGTTACGAGTTTTATTTTGCCGTCGCGATTACTTTTCGCTCAAAACAAAGAGATGGGAGTGAATTATGTACGTCATAAGTACTCTACATTTTTAATATTTAAGAAATTAAAAAAGACATTTAAACAAACGCCTTTGTTGAAGCTTCGCGCGAGCGTATATATATATATATATATATATGTATATATATAAGTTCATGGTATGTAACGCAAAATGCGTATTAAAATGAGTCACGCCCGCGGCGAAATGGAAGAAGAAATGCACGCGCTTTGTTCAAAGTAAATTACACCCACCCTCTTATCTTTCTTTGCAGTCAGACCGCATGTCGTTGCGTTACCTCGAAAAGATTGTAATTTCGCGGCGGTTATTTAAAAACCGCCGCGCAATCTCAATTCAAAACGGAAATGGAATCTCTCCGCGGGAGAAAGCACGTTGCCGGTATGTATCATATCGATATTTGATTTGATAATGTATATATATATATATATATATATCTCAATGGCGTGTAATCGGTTGCGTAAAACTGTTTTATAAATTTATTACTTCTCTCGCAAGTATCCAGCGACATTTTGTACGTAACGTAAATTTGTATTACACACGGAGAAAATGTATGTGTACATATACTGACCGCGCGCGATGATATTCTCCTGCTACCTTTTCGCAAAACTGTATTTCTTCCGTTATCATGAATACTTGTTTCGGGTTTTCTCCTCACCTCGCGGTGTTCGCAACCATAATATTTTTCGAGAAAACCTTAGCGATGCCGCAATTTTTTTTTTTTTTATAGAGCAACGCAATTTGCGGTAAAACTCGAGCAATTTCTAATAAATATCACTCTCGGCAGGAAAAACGATACGTATTTTTTTTTTTTTTTTTTCACAAAACGCACGTGTATATTTCTATTACGTAAATTTTTTTATTATTTTCAATCGCGATTACAGATGTATAAAAGCGACACGCGCGCGAAAAAGATGGTGTTATATAAGGATGCGAAAATTTACATATCGGCCAGATGGGATTTATAGCGTGTTGGCTTCAGCGCTCGAATACGTTCTCCTCTCATCTAACGGGGTTTGGGGCACTCTTCGAGGCGGGAAGCCCGTAGCCCGCAGCTCGAGAGATCCCGAGGCTAATCTACCTCCTCCTGGAAAGTTTAAATGGAAACGCGGAACCGGGGGTAGGGGGTTAACGAAACATCCGCGCGACGCCGTCCGTTGGCAAGGGCGCCGCTGAAAAATTTTTAAGCTGCTTAACGCTCGAGTTGAATTTGCTCGAGTAGCGACCGCCGGTGGGGGGGCGGGCGAGGGAGGAGAGGCCGCCGATTTCGAAATATTAAGCGTCACCTTTGTCGTTCGCCGATAACACGCGGGCGTGTCGATTTGAGCGCGCGCGCAACAAATGTGTGCGCGAATAATAATGGTATTAGTACAACGAGATAACTCTGTAATAACATAGCATTCAAAATTATATTCGCGCGTGCTCGAATTCACATACGAGAGACGAAAATCAAAAGCGCGCGATCGAGAGACCGGAGATCCGTTTGACGGTTATCCGATAATAACGGATAACCGTCATAGAGGTCCTTTTTCATAATAGATACTCGGTCGTATCGATCCCTTCCCTGTCGATGGCGCGCACGTATATCGCGTCGTTTGACCGGCGATCAAACCGTATAACGCGCGCTTTCCCTCCCCTCCCCTCCTCTCTCGCCCTCGTCAGTCGCCCTCAATTTGGTTAACCGTGAATCCTGCGACAAGATCGTCGTCCCGATTCGGCAAGGCTACGTGTAGCTATGCGATACCGTGGAATACCCGAAGTACCTGACGTTGACCACCGGCCGGGGACACGATAGTATGCCGGACAAGAATCCGATCTGGTGTCCGCAGGCACTCTCATAGTTTACGTGTTCTCGTTCTCAACTCTCTCGCCGCCCCGGTAGCTCTCACGCCGCCGTAAGCGCGCGCGCGCAGAATATAACGGCGAGATATATACGCGCCACCACCGATTCGCCACCGTTGCCTCATCGATTAACAGCTCGCCCCCTTCCCCCCGCCCCCGCAGAAATTCGGATCGTTAATTCGATCTTTCGCGACGACGTGTTCAACACGAAAACCCGCGACCGAAACCTCGCGCCGGCCCGTGATCCGTCGGACGGTATTCCGATATTTTCCGATAAAATGAAATTATTTTGTTTTTTTTTTTTTTTTTTAAATTTTCTTTTTTCAATATATCGCTAAAAAATTGGGAACTTTTACGAACGCGATATTAAACATGTCTTATCGGAGAGGAGAAACTGCAAAAAAAAAAAAAAAAGTGAAAAAGAGAAAAAAAAACTTATATTTTATATTAAACATATTTCTTTGTGAAAAACTCGACATAGTTTTTCGTGAGGTTTTTTTACAGAAATAATATAAGAAAGAAGAGAGAGATGGGACAAAGAAGAAGAGACTCACTTTGCGTCATCTTGAACGTCCTGGCGGCCTCGGTAACGCTGATCAATCCGTTACAGGCGGCGTCCGAGCTCTGTCCGAGATACCACGTGTTGTTCGATGGATTTGTGTAAATAAAGCATCTGTAGCTCTCCTCGTCGTTTGTTTTACGATCGTTACGATCGCTGTGCAAACGCGCGACCATGTAATTTGTGCTGCCCTCCCTCCAATGAGCCAGACACTCCAATTCTACGTCTAGAAAAACAAACCGTCATAACTGCAAATTGGCATGTACCCATTGATGATAACCATTGTTTTTTTTTTTTTTTTTTTTTTTTTATGTTTTTCTTCCTTTTTTTATTTTTATTTATTTATTTATTATTATTTTTTTTTTATCACACAGAATGCGCGCGCGCGACAAGGCTCCATTGTGCAGCGCAAATACGTTTATATACGAACGGAAAACATAAACTCTCTCCCCGTAATACGTTGAGTGCCGCAACGGCGGGACGTACCGTGCGACGTGTGCGAGGACGTATCGGGCCGCGAATGAAAATTTCGACCGTGATTCTGTCTATACGAGCCTATTAGTAACAGAGTCGTAAATAGAAGTTTATTGCCATTGTCCCCGGGATAAAGCTATCTGCAGAAGTTATAAACGGGCGTAAGCGATATATGAATGTTCATGAAAACGCATTATACCGTTCCGCATGCTCGGGACGTGGATATGCGCGCTCGCGCGCGCGCGCGCGCGTGCATACAAGTACCGTGTATTCATTTACCCGCGCGCGCTCGTCGTATCGAGATAGACGATCGGGCAGTACGGGCTGATGATAATTGCGCAAAATCGTTTGGACAAGCCCAGCAACAAATGGTAATTGACAAGGCCATTAATCATTCATTTCGAAGCCGCGAGCTTTATTGACCGTTACAGGCCTTGCGCGTCGTGTTAATTAATGTCAAACCGGATGTTAACGTCACCGCGCGGAAGCGCCGCGCGTGACCGTCATAATTCCTTTTTACGCGCTCCCGAAACGTGAGCGCGCGGGCATCGTAACGACGATGATGAGTCAATGCGATAACCGAAAACTTATTTCGCCGGAGTTAATTCGGTTATATGCAATAATTTTGTTTCAACGATAACAACCAGCAATTAGCCCGCGGTAATTTTTCCTCGCTACGATCGAGAGCCGAGTCTCTTTCCGGGCTCTTTTGTAATAGCAATTTTTGTTTCTCGCTCTCTATATAATATATATATGTATATAATTTTTTTAAATAGAAAAAGAGAAAAAATTAATAAAAAATTTAAAGCGATTTAAATATTCAAAGCGCCGTGAAAACGGAAAATGAGTGGAAATTCGATAACAATATAGCTGTACGAATTGAAACTTTACAGTCATGGCGTATTCCGAAATTTGCATCAATATATTGAGGCGCCGCTCTGCAAGCGCTTTATAATTGTAGATTGCAACGATACGAATTAATTATGGGCCAATAACAAAATGTCACTAGGCAGTGATTGGACTCTCGCGCATGTTGCATAATTCATAATTGTTTAGGTATTCATTTGACAAATTGTGAGCGTGTGTAAACAGATGTAACACAATTGCCGTGTAAATGGATATTACACAATGCGAATGTTTCTACAACGGTTGTACAATCAAGCCTTGTACAATTATTTCACGTGTGTGTGCGGCAGCATCTATTGCGCGTTATCAAAGGCAAACCTATGAAAACGATAATTAAATAAATACCAGGATAACAACTTTTTAATAAAAAGAAGCGGTATAGGAAATGACGTTTCTTCGGATTGTTTTTGTTCTCCAGAAACAATAAAAAAAAAAAAAAAGAAAACAGTACGTCTAACCGTAAAAAAAGTTACAAATTAAATTCTTTTTGTTTCGTTATTTGATTTGTTTTTGAGAAACTCCATTATTTTTGTATTACATAAATCGATTATTTTTTATAAAATTGAACTCGTTTGTCGCACAGTGTTTCATTTTTCCAAAATTCCACGTAATTCATTTGCATCGAATAAATTGTGTCTCGGCGTGGTATTTACATTTGTATCACAAACTGCAACTATAAGAGCGAAGTAATTTTGTTAATAGACAGAAGTGTGTTCTCAAAAAATTTTCTGAAAACCAAAAAAGTTGGTTTCATATTCCGAGCTACCGCTTTACTTGCCACCTTAGTCCGTTCGTGTAAAAGCAAATTTGTCAGCGGAGTGTAATGACGCTTCTCGAGAATACTGACCTACGCTTTCAGACGAATGTACGTTGGCGCACGCTTGATAGCGCAGAAGGAGACGCGAGTCCTGCGTGCACGCTTCCGCCCGTGATAACGGCGTATTGCACTCCCCTCCCTCGCCGCCGTTCACGCTATACGTGAACTCCATAGGGCCTCTAATAGGACAGGGCAGCTGGGCTGCATTGTTGCGAAACAGAGAGACCAGAGTGGCGTCGCTGGTCAACGTGCTGCATTTGGACGATAGATTCGATTCCCCGGGCGTGCAAAACGCTAATAACAATACAAGCGGACGTGAAGCACATTATTATTGTAACATTTATTTATTTATTTCCCAACTGCGCGTTTCCAGAGCGCATCGATTAATACGTAATAACGAAGATGATAAATCGTTTATCACACATTTTGTGCGTGTTTGAGAAAATAGAATAAAATTTTCGCGAAACACAACAAAGCAAAATACAAATCGCATTCAGGTGAGACAGTAAAACTGGCGAAATGACAGAACGATTGAAACAAAAAAAAAAATTGAAGTTATAATAAAAAAAAAAGAAATACACAGAAAATTTGTTTCTATTTCAAAAGTTTTAAGTTAAAATTTCACAAACAGATGGAACTTTGTATGTGAGAAAATTCGTGCAGTAATAAACTTTTACTTGTCTTACTTTCTTTATATTGCAGCACGTTGGTATGTTGCGCATGCATCACGATACACCGATAGCAATTATACTTCCTGAAACAGAAATGGAAAAAAAAAAAAAACAATTTCGAGTGTTACACGTTATTCTATGTACATACTTTTTGTTTAAAGAAGCGTATATTGCTGTGCATGTACAGGTACGATTTTTTCGATCCCGATATTTTTACGCAAACTGTAACGTCCTCCACGCGAAAAACTCTCGAGGCCTCGTAAATTTCATCCATTCACACCACTTACGAATTGCAATCGGTAAAAAATAATAAAATCTACGATATATACACATATACACACATATATATGTACATATATATATATATATATATATATCGTTGTGCGATCCCGCAAACCAAATTTATTATTTTTTTTTTTATCTAAAAAATTCGTTTATTCGAAACCCCGAGAAATTTCGGATTTCATCAAATGTGAAAATGAGAAGAAACTGTAATACACGTTACAGAACAGTATTTCCAATAATTTTGCATACTTTATATCCTCGTGGTAGAAAAAAAAAAAAAAAAAAACAAACCGGAATTTTTTACTCTCACAGAGATGTTCAAATCTGTGTAAAAGTAAGAATTATACACTTTACAGCTCGCTGATTCGACGTGACACGACATTAAAAAGCTGGCTTCATTAAATTCGAAAAAAAAAAGCGTATTCAACGTAATAACTTCGAGCGATTTGCTTTCAAACACGGATCGCGCGGCGGGGTCGGCGGAGCCGACGCCCCCGCCTGCCGCCGCCCGAGCTCTCTGTATTACGCTGATTTCCACCCTGGAAAAAGGTATAAACCACCGCGGGCCGCCTATTTGAATATCGCGTAAATTTACAAACCAAATACCGAAGTAATTTCTGTCGCGCGGCGCGGCGGCCGACACTCGGAAATTCCACCGCGCGCGCCGAACGCCGCGATTTCGCCGATTATCATCCTTTTCAAAATGCACCGCTAAAGCGGATTAATATCGTTACAACCCGCCGCTTTCTCCCCTCTCCCCCGTCGTCGTCGGTGTGCATAGCAGCAGATGCACACCGGCGGCGGTGCGGCGATAGTAGCCGGAAACTATATTGGACTGACAGCCGGGGAACAAAGGTAAACTTCGACTTAAGCCACCGAACAGAGAGAAGGAGAGAGGAGGAAAGGAAGTAACGAAGGGGCGCGGAAAGGAAAGGAGGTGAACAGGAGGGGATGAAGCGGAGAGAGAGAAAGAGAGAGAGAGAGAGAGGTGGAGAGAGGAAGTGGGGCGAAAACACAGAGCCAGAAGCTGCTGCGGGAGAAGGTAAGTTGCAGACCCGAGCTAAGTAAGCAAGGTGCCAACTAGTAAGGACACAAGACAAGCTCCGAAAGTTTTAAGTAGCTACGCGATACCACTCGTTGGACTCCTCTATCTTCCTCCGCTTCCTTTTCTCTTTTGCCTGTTCTACCGACGTCACTATTGCATCGCGCGTTTGTCTTTTCGCTCACGTACAAGGTGCCTCCTTCGAGACGCGCGTTACACCACGCGTCTCTCGACGCGAATTTCGTTTCATCTCGCGTACATCATTAATCGTCGAACGGTGCCGCGACGGCCATCAATCAATCGAGAANCTTTTCGCTCACGTACAAGGTGCCTCCTTCGAGACGCGCGTTACACCACGCGTCTCTCGACGCGAATTTCGTTTCATCTCGCGTACATCATTAATAATACGCAAATGCCGCGACGGCCATCAATCAATCGAGAACAAAAAAAAAAAAAAAAAAAAAAAAGAAAAAGAAAAAAAAACCCACCAATCCTATTGATTCTGCGAAGTCGCTGAGTTCGGCGGCTTCTAATGGATTAAGTCCAACGCCAATTCCCACAATTGCGGAAAACGCGCGTCAATTATCTCGCGCCGAGAACGAGAGACGTACGTCTAATCTGTTTTCGAAAATTCATTTCGATCGGCTTCGCGAAACATTTTCTCGCGCGATCGTATTCCCCGTCGTGTTCACAAATACGCGGGACACGCGGCGGGGCAGATACAGCGCCAAGTAGTCTACAAACGCTTTGCAAGAGCGCGCAGTTAAATGCGAAGTCCTTTGTCTGTGAAAAGCAGAGAGACCGGCTTGCGCCTTTGTTGGAAAGAAAACCAACGTCGACGCCGGAATCGTCTCTCTCGCTATATAAGTTTCCGCGTTTCTCTCTTTTAACGACTTTCCGCGAACTTTTCCTCGCGCGATGATCGACCTCCGCCGTTTCCCGTAATTATAAATTTTACTTCCGTCTCTCTCTCTCTCTCTCTCTCTCTTTCTCGTGCCGGCTTCAAAGACGCGTATAATACATCCGTGTCCCTGTGCTTTCTCTCCAAATACTTCAAACGTACGTTTCACCTGCGCGAGAGTTTCCCTTTCTTTGACGAATTGTTTTTCTTTGATGAGCACAGCGATCTCTTATTGCCGTCGTTAATGCTGTGTGACGAAAAATTGCTCGATTTTTAAGCGCTGGCTTTGAGAAACATCTCTTGTTTCCGCCATGAAAAAATTTAATTTTTCATACTTATTTAGTTATTAAGATATTATTAGAATTTAATTTTATTTGTTGTGTAAAATTTATTATTATAAAATAACGCGAAATATCGAAATGATGCCGCGCACGGAATACAAGTCAAAGTGTACGTTAACGATGAGGTGCGTCGGCCAAAAACCATCTTGATTTCTTCGCTCGATCGGTCGTGCCGCTTCGCCGGACGTATTTACTTAACCGTTAAGCCGGATGGTTTACGTTAAGTCGAGTATTCGCATTTTAACGAGAGAGCCGCCGTTAAAGTCACCCTTCGTCGACCCTCAACAATTCCGATGCCTTCAACGCTCGATGAACTTCGCACTAATAACGCGAGACGAGACGGAACGAGAGAGAGAGAGAGAGAGAGAGAGAGAGAGAGAGAGAGAGAGAGATCGTTTTCCGCTTTCTTTTTTTAATTTTTTTTTTTGTGTTTTTTTCGTTTGTTTTACATTTCTATTACGTTGCGTATA